CACCCGATCCACAAAGCACCGAACCCCTGACATTCCCCCTGCGGGAGCTGGGGCCACCTGGGGACAGTCCCGCGTGCCTCTTTCGGGCTGTACCCGGCCGGGCCCCACGGGCCAAGGCCCGGCCGCCAGGCGCTCGCCTACGAGCCCCTCCCCCAGGCCTGGCTCCAGGGTGGGACCCCGGTGACCCTAGTCCGGGCGAGGGAAACGGGACTTTGATATTTAACTTTTTCATGAGGTTCTTTTGGATTGCTCTTTGTCTGGCCCCTCCCCTGGGACCTTTTTGCCTTGGGAGACCCTACCAGGGGCTATTGCCCCGGACAACATAGCCCCCAGGTTCACGGAGGCACGCAAACCCCTCCACCACGATAAGGTGGCAATCCAAGGAGGAGAAACCTTATAATATTTGTAGTAAATGGAGTGTATTGTTACAGATGCCCTATAGGTGGCAATAGAGGCTTTGTTAATTAGCATGATTAGCTATGTATGCGGCTGCGAAAACACTGATGTTTACGGTGTGTGGTGTTCAGTAAAAAGGGCAAATTCGACTTGGCTGCTCGTGTGTCCTTATTGAGAAGCTATTATACATATTACGACCATTTTTCAAATTCAGTATAAAATATCCCGCCACGCGTTGTGATGTCATTTAGTGCTTTTGGTATTGAACTTTTGGTACTTTCTCTTTTCTAATGAAGTCATTAAAAGAAAGTACCGAAAGTACCGTGCCAAAAGTAGGGTAGGCTACATGGTGCGCTGGAAAAGCCCCTTAAATACGGCCAGTCCAGTCCAGGCAAGACTTGCTCTGGGTAAAGGCAGCAGCGAAATATCTCTGTGAAAGTTATGTTGGAGGAAAGACAGCAGTCCAGCAAATTACAAAAGGTAAATGCACGTTTGATAATTTTGTTCCGTCTTTTACATTACATATTACAACAATAGAGAGATCAGTGCAGAATCTGTAGTTTTAGGCTAATTCTCATGCTAGCCCTGAAATTATTCTTGCTATGGAAAGCAAGTGTTAGTGTACTGTCACTTAACTGTCGACCTTTTTCCGATAAGTTACTTGTAGTCTACACGAGGAGCAGGAACTGGCAGGTTTTTCTTTGTCAGATATTATGCTAGCTGTCCTGCCGTATGCTTAGAAGAGCCAGCGAGCTTCGTCTTACTGTTAAACGTGCCTGGGACCAGAATGAAGACTCCAGTTGCCTATTTTGAGCTACCTCACTTAGATAGGTTCCATTTTAAATAACTGTACGTTTTGAATAACAAAATAAGCAATTAGCAGTTGATTTCAGATTTCTGTATGCTGTCGTATTTTAATTGTCAGAGTTTGTGTATATACTTTGGCATGCATCCCAGAAATATTTAAATAGCTGAACATTTAACGTTTGCCACATTAAGATGAGATGGCAGAATGACTTTTAATATATGACCACGTGTCTGAATTGTACCAAATGCGACGAAATATTAATGCTTTGTTAAACTTGAAGTNGGCAAAATATTGTTTCAGTCACAGTCACAACTGAAAGTTATTTTGAGGCCATTTGCATTTTTGGTTAAAAGTGAATGTCAAAAAAGTTCATAAAGTTTATGAAATGTTTATGACTTTTAATATATAAATGTGTACAGAAATGAAATTACTTTGGATGAATGTTTGCTTTTCTAGTTTTTGCTAAAGGATAAGTCACAAATTTGATTTGGAAATATTCTTTAAATGTGACTGGTTTTTAATAAAACTAATTTATTTAGTTGGTGCATTCATTGTCTAATTGGTGTTGGCAAATATAATCGCAAGTGCAAAAATACAAAGTCACTGCAAGGTAATAATGCTCAGTCATCACCCAACTGACCAAGTATACATAAGGTGCATTTCTGAGGTCATAGGCGTGACCTTATTTAAAAACCTCTTGGAAATAACAGTTCCTGCCCATATTGGACTCTGCTGTTTAGCCTGCCGTCTTTCATTGGCAAATGGCCTAAACTAGCACACCATGCAGTTGACTATAAAATCGGACGTGACTCATTGATCATCTTGTCTGGCCCTATGGATTGGACATTAGTTAATTACTTTGCCAAACTTCATAAAATCAAGCATCCTTATGCTGTTGCAAACTGGTAGGAATACAAGCCAATCTCCATTCTTCAAATACAGGTAAACGCGGCGTAATTTACCGTGCCGAACCACTGGGAAGAGCATGTGCTCCTAGGGGTTATATTGATGAATATGTGACTTTATTTGTGAGCACCTTGTACTGTACAGTGCTGTCAACAACTGCATTATAAAATCACCCCCCAGGCTATTGTCCAGTTGGGTCCAGGTCGATCTCATCCTTCTATAAACTGCACGATGGATCATCAGCACATTCACATTAGCCATCTCCACAGGCAGGACAGTGTTTGTTCATTTTGTGGCCACTTTTTCACTGGTGCAGTGCTGAGATTCCATCTAGTCTATTTAAAAGACTTTTTGGTGACAATTTATAACAGAAAACATCACTGCGTTCTTTATCGTTCTTTTAAAAAAAATGAAACTTTGAGAACCTTGTTTAGATCAGTCCTTCTCCCTCCTTTTCCGTGCAAAATATGTAGCTCTGAAGATGGGGGACTGGAATTTGCTAGGAAGCATCTTGGAAGAAGTCCATATTCACTCCACCATAGTGGGGAAGATCTGGTTGACCATCCTTTTCATATTCAGGATGCTTCTCCTTGGTGTGGCCGCTGAGGACGTTTGGAATGATGAGCAAAGCCAGTTCACCTGCAACACAGAGCAGCCCGGCTGCAGTAACGTGTGCTACGACAAAGCCTTTCCGATCTCACTGATACGGTACTGGGTGCTTCAGATCATTTTCGTCTCTTCGCCATCGCTGGTGTACATGGGCCACGCTCTGTACCGCTTAAGGGCTCTTGAAAAAGAAAGGAGGAAGAAAAAGATTCAGCTGAAGATCGAGCTGGAGGACACGGATCCCATTCTGGAGGAGCACAAACGGATGGAGAGGGAGTTGAGAAAGTTGGAAGAACAGAAGAAAGTAAGCAAGGCACCTTTACGCGGATCATTACTGCGCACTTACGTTTTCCATATCTTAACTAGATCGGTGGTGGAGCTGGGATTTATACTGGGCCAGTATGTCCTTTATGGAATTGGACTGGAGCCCTTGTACAAATGTGAAAGAACGCCTTGCCCAAACAGCGTAGACTGCTTTGTTTCTAGACCGACGGAGAAAACAATATTCATGGTGTTTATGTTAGCGATTGCCGGTCTTTCCCTGTCTCTCAACATCCTCGAAATATCTCACTTAGGGGTGAAAAAAATCAGACGAAGTTTATACGGGAACGGCTGCGCGGGCGATGACAGCATCTGTAAACTGAAGAAAAACACAATGCAACAAGTCGGTGTTCTTACAAGCTCGTCTCCGCAAAAGATTATACAATTAACTACTTACCCAGGGCTGCCGTATGGGCAGTTGGAGCCTCTTCCAGTGTACATGCCTTCATCTGGTCCCCCAGCAGATAACGAGTCGCTGAAGCCAGACAGCAGCGCTGGGGATCGTGATCATCTGAAGGTCTTCGATCAGCACCACAGAGAACAGCTACAGCAGTCTAGTCAAGGCGAGATCCAAGTCCAGCGGATGTTTGGCGCCTCAGATCGCCGAAATACTTTGGAAACCCGAGACCAGTCATCCAGTAGCGGTGATTCAAATGGGGGAAATGGACCCAGGACACAAGGTTATCCAGGTCAGGGAGGAGCGCACCCCAAACGAGCATCTCACTCCAGCCACATGGAGATACCTGCGGCCGTCCGTAACGCAGTGCGCAGACAGAGTCGTATAAGCTGCCACAAGGACTTCGGAGAAGATCGGAGTGTTTCTCCGGACAGCGGCCACTACCCATCAACGCGGAAGCCCAGTTTCATGTCCCGCGAACTGTCCAAGAGCAAGCTGGCCAGCCCACCTGCGAGCCCGGCTTCGGGAAGCGGCTCCGGGTCCGACCCCAAGCGCATCTCGCAGGCGGAGAGTCCGCCTGCGACTCCGCCCCCGGCGAGTGGAAGGAGGATGTCAATGGCAAGTACACAGAAAGCATAAGCAGAATATCATCAGATCACATTAACTTGGAATTTTATTCAGTTATTTCCCGATATTAATGTGCGATGTGCATATCAACTTAGTGTATTAAAAGTAACAGTTTTATATTAGCCCTGAATCGCTGATGTGAACGTTGCAGAAAATGTCATAGGCATCTGCATCTGAAAAGTAAGAAAACAAGAGCCTAAAATGAAAGTGTTAGTAACAGGTAAAGTTTAAACAAACAAATAAAGATACAAATAGACATTAAAGATGGAAGATATTGGGATGTGGACCAACATTCACCTCAGATGCCAACATAATATGCCGTGTGTATTAATAATTTTATATGTCTTTCTCTTTTTTAGAGTATGATCCTGGAGCTATCCTCCATTATGAAAAAATGAAGCCATCGACAATACTTCCTCGGCCTGTAGAGGGCGCTCGCGATTTGAGAATGATCGGCCAAACCGCCTCGCTCACCCCACGCTACATTGCATACGTTGCATTTCCGTAACACATTTATGCTTCATTCAGGCAGACGTGTTTAATTTTACAACACGAAACTGAAATAGCTATGTATAATAAATTTGAATCAGTTTTAGTAGCAGAGACTTTGCAAGCACCGTGTAAATTTTTACATTATATTTTGTCCCGCTTATGTAGCCTAGGAGTGGTTTTTACACTGAAAGACCTATAACGGTTTAAAAGAGAGAAATGAGTTACCCATCAACTGAGACATATTATATAACAAACACTGTATAATGGTGTTTGCATATTATTACGTAAAAAGAGCATTTCATACAGACTTGTTTTGTATTGACCATTAGTCTAAACTAATAAAAAATTATGATAAGCAGAATTCTCTCAAAAGAACAATTTGCAAAAAGCTACACTTAAACATCATCATATATTTGTAACCACTACTGACCACAGAAGAACCTATTATTAACTCTGCTTTTCTTTTGCAACTGATTAGGCCTATACCTTTTTAAATATCAGTGATTTTATAAACTCATGCAAAAAGATTTTCCTCTTTCTTTTTCTTGACTTTATTCTGTGCAAATGCTTGGTGTCATTTCACTCCAAAGAATATAAGGATCAGAGGACTTTGAAAACTGACAGAATCTTGCATGTGAAGCCGTAGCCGGAACAGAAGCCTGAATTAAAGCAAAAAAAAAACTCACTCTGCTGACTTGACATCTGGCAGGTTACTTGCTTGTTGGGTCGTTTCACCATCATGTCGTTCAGCCGATGAGAGACAGGGTGCCTGGTAATATCTCACCGTTTTATGGGCAGATTGGTGGAGCCCAGCTCGAGAAACAGTATTAGAACAGAGTAACAGAAGGAAAGAATTACGCATTAAGCCATGACATCTTCCCTACTTACCTTCAAGCAGCTTGGTTTGCAGTCCTAATGTGGAGGCTGTAGAACGAATGAAACTTGGATCTCAAGGGTTATTGAATTATTAAAAGCTTCTGCAGAAGCCTTTTGCTTCTGACTATTAACTCAAACTACAGATTCACACCCTGTGATTGAAACTTGTGGCAAAACTGGTCCTACCTTCAGCTGAAAGTAACTGGTCCACCCATCTTCACATGCAGGCTTTTCTGCACACTGTCATTTACTGACCACACCCAAGGGCTTCCTTATCAACAGGACTAATCTACTGGATCTTAATAACAATAATAATTGATACTTTATTAATCCCTGTGGGGAAATTGTTTTTACGCCTCCCTCAACTGGCTCTTTGTGGAGTAAGTTGTCTGTGAAGGGCAGCCACCCGTAGCGGTGCCCAGGGAGCTGGGGGTTAAGGGCCTTGCTCAAGGACCTGCAGACATGCTGAGGCTTGGTTTGAAGCAGTGACCTTCTAATTACAGGCATACAGGCTTAGTCCACTGAGCCACATGCCCCAAATGTCCTGGAGGACATTTCCAGTCCAGAAAGTAAAAGTCCAGACCAAGATTTTGTGTCAACCAACCAGATGAATATAGTCACAGTGTATTCAACTTTTTGCCTAAAATAAAATCTTGGTCTGGATTTTTATTTTCTGGATCAGAAATGTCAACATCTGCATAACTGTGACAAAAATGAGTGAGATACAGAAAAAAAACCCCATCTGACACATTGTATACATATGTTCTTTATTTCATTAACAGAAATGGTGTCCAGACAAAAAAAAAAAAAATCATTTATATAACACTACCGTTTGAAATGAATGAAAATGAGGTTGCACAATACTGTATTTACAATTGGGGAAAAGTAATTAAATTTAATTAGGGTTGTGTAGCAAAAAAGTAAAAAGTCTAGGTAAGAGAATAAGCATATCACAGCTATCTCAAAATCGACAATATTAACACAAAACAGTCATCTAAAAAAAACCAAGAGAAAATAAATGAACTACAAGCTTAAGAACCGTTAACATTTAAAAAATGGTGCACCAAAACCTACTAATACAATAATCCATATAATCTGTGTAAAAAGCATGTAGAAAAAACACCTGATGTGGTTGCTGATACAGCCATTGACCAGTTATGAGAGGTATGAACATTTCACAGGTAGATAAGTGTGAGAAAGTCTATACTGTTGACTCAGCAAAGGGGCACAGGCCCTTGCATACACTTCACTTAAATGTGAATTATGGCCTCTGTAAAAGTCTAAGGCAAAAATTAGAGGTGCACTTGTATCCATAGTAACACGCCGCCAGGGGATCAGGTAATTTGCAAGGTAAAACGCATAGTAAAGAGTGGCCATTTTTTTTTCAGTTTTGAACACGCTTCCAAGAGCGGAACATTCGACCCGATTGAATTTCATTCTATATACAGGACTAGTCAACTGAATGCACAACACGCGATGACTCTAGTTTTGTAAACATTATCGTTTTTTCGTCCTCTATACATGACATCAACCTGTGCGTTCGCTCATATTTCCAAGAATTATAAAGTACTGCAAATAATGAAGAATGACTCCTCTGGAAAGCCAGTGTTATTTCTCAGAAGAGAAGCAGCGAATATACAAACACAAAGTCCAACATAAAACGCTAAGAGCATCACTTTAATTCTGCCAATCGGCGATTACAGCTTTCAAAAACACGGTGCGTCATCCGTCAGGTCGAGCGTCTCTGTCCGCGGCCAGACTGAATTCTCATAAATGTCCGGCTCAGTACTTCGGCACCCGAGGCAAATCACCCATTTTGGACATCTACTAGGGTGCGTCACCTTAGATAGCTGAAGAAGGCGGCCATCCATACTGTGCATGTCTGATCTACACTAGTGACAATGACTTGGAGATGGCTACATAGAAAAGTCTGAGATATGGTATAACTGAATGAGGAGAATACCCAAAACAAAAATTCACTAAATGCTATGGCAGAAGAGTCAGAATGTGGAAAAAATTGGCACCCTGAGACGATATCAAAGAACATGTTTAAAAAAAAAAATAACTTCACGGTAGAATCACCATAAAAGTCAACATATTACTGAGATGACAGTGCACAAAAGCTTATTAGACTTGGGCATGGAGTCAGATCTGACCAGGTAGTTGTCAGTTGCCAAGGAAACGGAGTGACAGCAGAGCGCAGAGGGCTGGGCAGGAATGTGTGCTCATTCAGCCATTGCAGGAAAGTCCCCATAAGAAAGAGAAACACTCTCACCCGCGCAGAAAGCACAGCGGACGTGACTCCAGGTGTGCATTTGGTACAGTAACGGGATGGATGGGAGTGATGACATGGAGAAGGGACTCAGCACAATGCTACAGACAACGCTAACTGTGCTAAACATGGAATATGGATGAGAATGACTATCTACTGCAGGAACCTTAAAGCGTTTATGAAAGTGACAGCAGCCGGTGCAAGGCTGCCCCTTCATTTTTGCTGTCCTATTTTGAATGTGCTTTTCATCGCATTTACTTTCCATGTCACCTTTGAGGGGAAAAGTTCAAAGCCAGGGCCAGCAGGGGGCGCCCTGCGTGTTTGTGTGTGTGGTGTGTATCTGACATCGCTCGTCATTTCCTAACTTTTCACCAAATGATGGTTTTCATTTCCACTAAACGCGAGTGTGGTGGTAACATCAGAAAAACACAAGAGAAATAAAATAAATTAGAAAATAAAACAAAGGATACTCACGATCACATTCCCTCCATTAAAAAATTCTCTCAACAAGCGAAAACACACATACATGCGTGCGTGCACAGATACACACACACACACATTCAGACTCACATACACATGCGCAAACTAAGAAAACTGGGTAAGTGAGCCAAAGTGAGACAGAAAGTCTTTCATTTGTCTTCTCAGAGAACTTGAATAAAGATGTTCTTCTCTGCTCCTTTACCTTTTACACTGAGACAATATTCACCCAAAAATGACATTCTCTCTGAATACAGTACCATCAGTACAGGCTTCTAGCTGAAACCCTGCACGTCTCTCAGTGATCTGATTCTGCAATTCCTGTTTTTGTTTTTGCAAATATCAAGACAAGGGAGACTAAATATTCATCTGTGGACTACAGACCTAGAAAACGCAAGACAAGAGAAATAATACAAGGAACATGCATTCCCACTGCAGAAATAGGTTTTTAACAAAATTTACAATTAGGGAAAAATATGACTATTTCACATGATTGTTCCACTATCTTTTCTTTTAAAACAACATCTAACTGACCACAGGGCAAATGAACTCAGTCCTTAATTAGCTTATTCTATCCTCAAACAAATACAAACACAAATACTCAATATCTCCACAGATTGCAACAGCTGTGTTCCTATTCTGGAATTTAAATAGTTTGCATTTTTGAATAAACTCTTTTTTCATATTAGACACTAAAAGACAACATAAAGAGAATAGCACACCAATTCTTTAGAGGTAAAACCTCTGATGCCAATTTAAGTGCTTTAATTTTCTACCTTTCTAGGAATTTGAACGGAGGGTATACCCCTCCTCGAAGTGCTTACTGGTGTTGCGAGTGCCTAGTGCGAGATAGAAAGTGCCAGAATCTAGACTGAAGTCTGTGGAGATCTACATCCCTACATAATGTCTAAATGGAGAGCTCGTTTCCATTGTAAATGGCATCAAGCAGTTCATCGCCTCCCAGTGGCATTCATCCTTAACATCAGGACATTTAACACTGATGAAATTTCCCACCACTTTTCTTAAGAAAAGGATTTCTCCAATACATATTATAGCCTTTAAAACCGATGAGGAAGAAAGACATCTCAACACATTCCAGAACTTTCTCTCAAGCCAAAGCTGCTTCCATAAGTTAAAAAAGATTCACATAAAATCAAATTGAAAGCATCCACTGTTTAAAAACATACTTCCTATTGACCTCTTCATCAACATCCAATTTGTAACTGATAGGAACATGCAATGGGCTCCGGATCCTATTTGTGTGAATATGCAGTGTGTGCGTGGGTGTTCATGTACGTCTTTGTATGTCTTTGCATGTGTGTGTGACAAGCTGATTTCCTGAGTTTCAGAATACTCCACTTTCAATCTTGACAGGAAACAGCCAAATAATATTTTCCAGCAGCAAAAGATGTTTGATGAAACCCAATGGAAAAAAAAAAACATTAACCACTACCTGTACAATTTTACTGTGACAAATGTCACCATGCTTCATATTATATACAATACAGTTCTGGACAAACGAGCACTTAAATATCAACTGTTAAAAGCGCCCATAAACAATGGTATTGCTGATGTGTGAGGACCTTAGCTATGTGACCACGTACCAACACTTGTTTCTGTCTTTTTTCAGTTTCAGCACTGCAGAAGGCAAGAGAGGAATGTTTAGGTACAAACGTCTGTACAATATACGTCGGGAGTTCCAGTATCGAAACGCTATAAATGAGCTGTACAGGAGAAATTTTTGCATATGGACACGTACAGTCTTGGGGCTGTATAAAATTCCCAGTGTACAGAAGTTGTACTCTTATTTTCATGAACAATATTGAACATTCAGAAAACATTTCCTGAGACTGAATTGCTGTGACAAGGGCCATTGAAAATGAAAGGGAGAGAAGGAGAGAGAGAGAGGGAGAGAAAGAGAGCGAGAGAGAGAGAGAGAGCGATCAGAGCTGCATGGAGGATTTCAGCTTTGAGATGTGAACTGCCCATCCCTGTTGTGAAAGTGTAAAACACAAAGGCAGTGTTTCCACTGCAGAGGTCACAGCCGGGGTGTGGCGGGGTAGCACCGTCAAGAGGAAGTTCTGTGAGAGGATCTCACAATGTCATGGTTTGGAGGAAATACCTGGAGATAAGTATTGCTGCTGTTAAGACCACTGTAGTGTTGACCTTCAAAAAAATACAACATAATACAAAAATACAAAACAAAATGATTTTTTTTCTGAAGAACATTGGCAGATCTCGAGAAACTTAACCTCAGGCAGAGGTTTGTCAGGAGAAAATTAAATAAAAACAGGAAGTGATGTCACCGTCACTAGGTGTACTCCTTTCTGGGCTGTTCGTCAGTGGTACATTTATCGGTCATTTCCTGGCAGAAATCGGTGACTGTCTGGTTAGTCTGTTCGAAGGTCAGCCCTGACTCCAGGTACACGGCCGACTCTCGACCTTCGTTGGCTAGAACCACACCCCCTAGGTTGTCGGACCCGTTGCCCAGAGCCCAGCGGGCTGGGCCGGCTTCGCTCTCAGGAGGGCAGGGGGACTTGAGGGCACGGGGCTCTGGGGTGGGTGAACTGGAGCTGGTAGTGAGGTCGATGCTGGTGGAGGCAGCGGCAGCAGTGGGGGAGCAGGCAGTGGGGGATGTGGTGGTGGCGGAGGGCTCGCTGGGCTGCAGCACTGGGCAGTAGCGGTGCAGTGACTGGACCTGCTCTGGACTGAGCTGCACATCCCGGTATACCTCCTGCGACAGGCAGGAGAAGTTCTCCCATAGCTCACCCATGCAGGCCTCCAGCTTGCTGCGCTCTGTCAGTAGCTTGTCCTTCTCAGTCACCTGACAAGGAGTCACACACAGGAAACTCAGTGTCATACTGCTGCAAGACATCACAGGCTAACGAAGCTACAGGGTCACACAGCCTAACACAGCTACAGGACATCACAGGCTAACGAAGCTACAGGGTCACACTGCCTAACACAGCTACAGGACATCACAGGCTAACGAAGCTACAGGGTCACACTGCCTAACACAGCTGCAAGACATCACAGGCTAACAAAGCTACAGGGTCACACAGCCTAACCCAGCTACAAGACATCACAGGCTAACACAGCTACAGGACCACACAGCCTAACCCAGCTACAAGACATCACAGGCTAACACAGCTACAGGATCACACAGCCTAAAACAGCTACAGGACACCACAGGCTAACACAGCTACAGTATGACACAGCCTAACACAGCCATAGAATGACACGATTCTGCTTTTCACAATTCTGATTTATAATTCGGGTCTTTGTTATTCTGGACATCCTCTGCCAGCCCCTACAGGATGGGCTCCCCCTTTGAGTTTGGTTCCTCCCAAGGTTTCTTCCAATGACACCGGACACCGGCATTTCAGTACTATACAGACATTTATTTACACCGACAATTTGATGAGCAGATTAGCAGCACGCCTAAAATATCAATGATAGCCGTATTGTGACTCCCAAAAGTTAATCTGTATAAATTTGACGTATCCTTATGTTAAATGAACACATCAGACTTTAAACTGCAAAAAGTACAGTCACAGCACCAATGTCCTTTTAACTTGTTTATCCACAATATCTCCTCTTTTAAAATATGTTGTGGCTGTTGACCTGTACCTCTCTTCACCGCCGCTTCAGCGCTGATCCCTTCCATGATATACTAAAACAGTAGCATGTGGTGCTCTGCTAACCAAATTTAATAAACACAACGACGCACTTAATTCACACAGATTACTCTGTGGCATCCTTGATGTAATCTCTGTGATCTCTATGAGATTACGTCAAGGAGCCCCGGAAATATGAAAGAGGTGTCTGTTTACTGCTTGGTGCCTGACTGAGGACATGGCATGCTCCACGCCACCCCGGCTGCCATGGAAACCAGGGGGTTTGCTGGAAACTGCCTCCTCACCCTGCCTACACCTGCCAGCAGCTTAAAGCTCAGCTCACATGTGCAAAAGATCACTGCTTAATATAAATAGTGCAGAAACCATCCATCTATCCATCCTCAGGCCTTTTGAGGGTCACAGATGCATAAACTACAGATCTAATATTACAAGATGTAACACAGAAGAGTTTTGATAAAACGTTTACACAACTGGAATGAAGTATCTGAGTCATAGCTTTCCTCTGCAAATTAAGGGCTCCTGACAGTAATAACTACTTGTGAGTGAATGCTTTGTGGTGACTGAGTCATGCAGCCACTGTATGTAAGGACATGCACGTCTGTGTGAATGCATGCGCACCTCTATCTGTGGTGTCAGTGTGCAAATGGTGCGAGCGCGTGCGTGCGGCTCACCAGCTTGCGGATCTCGCACTCCAGGTTGAGGATGCAGTCCAGCTTCCTTTTGCGGCAGCGCTGAGCCGCGATGCGGTTCTTGCTCCGCCGCCGGACATCGTGGATGAACTCCAGCTGCTCTGAGGTCAGCTTGTGCATCTTCACCATCATTTGGAAGTCATTCCGTGGAAGATTTGTGATTTGATCGACAGGGAAGGGAAGTTTGACCTGTGAGGGGAGATGTGCATGCAGCTATTCAAGGCTGATCATTCCATTCACTCATCCATACATCCATCCATCCATTTTCCAGACAACTCATGCAGGGAGCCCAACATACAGGGTTGACCCAACCTTCATTTCCTGTGGAATGGATTCCAGCAATTTTGGGGGATGTCAAGATATTTCTAGACAGTATGGAAGGTGAATAAAAATTATTTCTTGTGTTACCCCTAACCGTCACTAGGTGGAACCTTTGAGCCGCTAATACCCAGAGCATAACCTCCTGGAACAGTGAGCAGTGACTCATGCTTCGCGAAGCGCTCCAGCACTGGAGCTGCCAACAAAACCCTTTCTGTGCAAACCGGTTTGAGTGGCAGGTGAGGGGGCCAATCCAAGAAAAACACCTCGCTGTCTCTCTGTCTTGCCTGGCTGTCCTGGATGCCGTCAATGTGAAAGGCAGCAGAGAGAGCGGCGTGCTGGGGCTTGCTAGCCGCACTCGCACGCATGTCAGAGGATCGCTATGTGGAATGAATGCCGGAGCAAGCAGCGGCACCCCGCGGGGCACCGCGCGCTGCCCGTGTGTGCGCGCGCGTGTGTGAGCGCGTGAGAATGCCAGGTGTGAAAGCATCACAACAGCATGGCTGAAACAAAAAGCGAACCGGAGAGTCAAAACGAGGCAAAACTCAGTGCTAAAAAATATCATAAAATAATGAAAATAAATAAACGAGATTTAAGAAGATGCAATAAGGTCCTTTGGAGGAAACGTCAAAGGGGTCAGTGATTGAAAATGGCAATTAATGTGTTCATATGAGCCATGATGAAAGTGTGAAACGAGGCTGAAATTTATGAGATGTGAAAGTATTTATAAGAAATATGTAAGCGATACGTACGAGATGCATTAAAAAAAAACGCCGTAACGCCCTAAGAAACACGCGCGCGCGCGCGCGCACACACACACACACACACACATTCCCGCGTGGATCGTGGTCAGAAAGGCTCTGCTCTGAGCGGGAATAAGAAAGCGCTGGAAAGGCGCAGACGAACAAAAAGGAGCGGGAGCCCTGCCGTCACCCCGCTAACGTATATGGCAGCGGAAAAACCCCGAGATGGGCTGCTCTTTCGGCAGCAGCTGTGTACACGTCCCCGTGGCCACAGGGCGGCGCAGCTCGTGGCCACCCTCAGCGGATGCTCAGGCTTTGTTTAATGCCATCTTCTAGCCTGGCTGCTTCTCCCTTGATTTACGGCATGGGACACCCCCATCCCACATATTCTGCTGACGATATCACCAGGCCGCGCTGTGTTACCGCCCCAGGGCACCTGGGGGCCACTCACAGCAGCCTCACACATCTTCCTGTGAGTGACGGGGGGCAGGGGGGGCAGAGCATGATTGTCGCCTGACAGGAAGCCCTCCCGAGGCCAAATTAGAGCCCATTTTTGAATTGTGCTGCTCTGAGTGCTTGGCTATCTGACGTGCGGCCAGGAGCAGTGCTGCACGCGGACGCCTGCGACACGCGACTCTGTGGACGGCCGCAGAGTAAACGGGGTGGCAGTGCTGTGATATCAGGGGCTGCCCTGTCGTTATTCAACCAGGCCACTAGGGGGACCTGTCCTGTAACACACTTACAATGACAAAGTGTCCTCCAGCACGGGGCCCCTGCCCCAGGTTCTGGCTCACTTCCTGTTGAACTTCCTGTTACTTATGGTCCAGAGTGAGACGAGTGACCTGTCTCACTGCGGCCGCTATGGCCACAGCAGAAGGGAAGTGACAGGTGGCGTGGAGGGGGCCTTCTTGGGGGGAGCCCATGTCACCTGGTGCTGTGTTTCACGCTCAGCCTGAGCACACAGACGCTGACCAAACATCCCACTGACCTCAGCCGAGGGCTCATAGGCTGGCAAGACAGGAGTTCAAGAGGCGGAGCCTCTATAGCGGCAGAGAGACCGTGCCTCTCCTGTGTCTTACTGACACACTGGCTGCTGCCATGGTGATGCTTACTAATACTATCACTACTATCACTCCTGCTGCGTGTAGTACTCCAGCCCGCACAGCACGCGGCGGGTAAATACAGCAGCCTCAGTGTGAGTCTATATTAAGCTGCTCTTCTCCACACGCTGTATCTGGCTCTTTTCACAGAGGTGCTGCCTTGACTGTCCTCCTGTGGCCTCTACAGCAACAGCAGCCTGTACTGTCGCTACTCATGAGAATTTACAGCTCAGGATACCTGCAGCTTCCCCAGCCGGCCCTGCTATAAAGGGCCGGAGAATGCCACAGACAGACATACAGAGAGAGAGACAGACAGAGAGAGAGACAGACGGACAGAGAGAGAGACAGACAAACACAGACAGACATACAGAGAGAGAGACAGACAGAGAGAGAGACAGACAGAGAGAGAGACAGACGGACAGAGAGAGAGACAGACAAACACAGACAGACATACAGAGAGAGAGAGAGACACACACACACAGAGACAGACAGAGAGACAGAGAGAGACAGACAGAGAGACACAGAGAGAGAGACAGACAGACAGAGACACAGACAGACAGAGACAGACAGACACACACAGACAGAGAGAGAGAGACAGACAGACAAACACAGACAGACAGACAGAGAGAGAGACAGACAGACAGACAAACACAGACAGACAGAACTTGGAATCCACATGTGTCTAAGGAGTACAATGATGAGTGTACCTGAGAGGACCAGTCTATCTTGGGTCACAGTCACTGATCCCTGGTTGAACAAGGCTTGGGTGGTATGACTGTATTACGGTATGCCCCAGGATTTAGACATCCTAAAGGTTATACTGTCGAAAATACAGATGCTTAACTGACAGGGAGCTGCTGTACTGAGATGATATTCTGCACAGCACGTGTCGATCTGCTGGTAAGAAAGATGGCGGCTGCCAAGTAGTACAAATAACACTGGATTAGAAAAAAGTTTCTGCCCCTGCTTGGAAATATTTTGGATTTATTACCAATGATGAAGGTGAGCCAGTTAATCCATTCGTTTCATTTTCATTCTACATTCAGAATATTTAAGATTGTCCATGTGAATAAAGATTCTTGAAACATAGAAGTTGCAGCTATTATTTTTTTGTTTTACTGATGGAAAATACAAAATATAAAATGAAATTAATTGATTTGGGAACATAGCCAGCAGAAGAATAATTTGTAAAAAAAAGAATAATTTGTAGAATTTGTAGAAAAGAAATAATTTGCTTCAACAAGGAGCGGTCTCCTTGTTTCTCTACTGCTCAGTTTCCACACTGAGTCCGATTAATGTATCTCTGATTCTGGAGTTTATGGTAGCCTACATGATTTACGTTTTTTTAATACCATCATATACCATATACTGGGGTGAAATGTCTAAAAAGTATGATGGTATGAAAATATAGATACCGCCCAGGCTTAGTCTGAAGCTGGCTCTGCGCCCAGATGACACTCACAGCAAACACCAGGACCTCCCCTTGGTCCCTGAGAACCTGCACAGCAGGATGTGTGGACCAGTGGCCTCGGGGGATCAGACTGGATTGGACGGGGAGTTCTTGGCCATTATCTTTTTGACAAAGACAGAAAGTGCCCTCATTCTATATCCTACTGTTAGGGCTAGACTTCCAGAACTGGAACTGCAGAGCTCAAGGCAACAAGACTGTATCACCGGGGCAATCACACGCGTTTAAAATATTCATGAAGAGAGAAGGTGCTACTCCCAGTGCAACCACAAGGCGATCATAGCGAGAGCAGAGTGCACAGACTGAGGGCATGACTGGCTTCGGAGGCGCCTGACTTCCTGTGTGAGTAACACGCCCAATAAGAGGTTAAGGTACCACGCTGAGGAATACGAGAGGAACTGTGCAGCAAACTGCTACCATCACATGATACCACTGTCAGCTCCACACCTGTGATCACCTGACACAGGCGGCAAAGGGGAGCTGAGGTCATCACCCTGGTCTAGCCAGTCACCAGTGCTCTTTGTACCGACTCAATTCGGTATGTCTTGGCACTGCAATGCTAAGCTGGTAGATGCTGCAACTAAGACTCGTGGACCTTACAGGTATCATGCCACACACAGCTGCTTCAAAGAGGCAATTTAAAGGCTAAAACATAGGCAAAGCAGGAATGTTTTATGGTCAAAAAGGCAGAACTTTGCTGCATAGCAACAAGCATTGTGTGACTTGAGCTGCTGCTGGGGTCGTCATCAGCAAACCCTGGGCTGGGACCAGCTGAGGGACCCAGTCAGAAAAGCCCCAACACAGTCCAGCAGCGCCGGCTCAGCCTCACAGTTTAACAGCTTCCTTCCTGGCCAGAATCCGCTGTTTCCACTCCTTAAGGCAGCCAGCCCTCCATGGGCCGCGCTCACCGCCCACTCCGCAGGCACACGGGAGCCCTATAAACACGGCACGCTCCAGCACTGTTTATTTGCACAAGTTGCTGCAGGAGCAGTAAACGACGGGCATCCAGGAAAATAAGGCAGCCTTCATAAGATATCTAATCACCACAACTGCCATTACGCCACAATAAATTCATTGGCAACAGGCGAGCGTGAGATACGGCTGTTGATCCAGTTAACAGGAACAGTTTAAACAGAGATTAATTCCACTTGTACACATAAAAGGCAAAGGGAGCTGTCGAAAGAGCCCTTTTCCTGAGCTTTTTACAACGCCAAGGCTCTGAATTACCAGCTAAATCCACATGATTTCCAGCCAATGATCTCAGCAGTCATTCACATGACACATAAATGGGGACGAGAGACAAGCGTGATGGAGGGAGTAACGACGCCCCACCGCGGGGCCGTTTCTCTCTCCCCTCTCATCGTGCAGATGCCACCGTTAGAGGCTCCTCTCTGACACGTTACTCATACCATTTAAGGGGGCTGGTTCTGTAAAAGCCGTCGCTATGGCAACACTTCCTTCACCCCACTCTGTTTTCCCACGTCTGCTTCCGCAGAAACAAAGATCCGCTCCCCCGGTGAACTAGATCTGGTGCTGTCGGAAAGGACGGCATTGTACTCCCTGGGCAGCCCTGTCATTTAGTGTGGCTGTCTAAGCCGTAGCTGTCCCACATACACTAACTTCTACAGTTTACAGAAGCACTGAATGGATCACCAGGAAATGTGAAAGTGAAGTACAATTTCTAGAATGACCTGGAAATGTAAAGGTTAACTTGTTGCGATACGTAGGTTTGAAAGTATACTTACTCATTTAGTGCACATTCTACTTATATGACAATTTGCAGAATCTTTCACTACCAATTCACTGGTTCCTTGTGTTCATTTGTGTTATATGTCCTTGACTGAATATGTCATTTATATTAATTCTGTTTTTTATATGTTTAAATATTTATAACCTATTTATTTCTCTTTTGCACTATGACCAAAATTTTCTGTGAGATAAAAGGGGGTCCCTCTGGTGGGAGGCATTGCAGGGGGGGGCACAGTGAGGGGAAAAAACAGAAACTGTGTGGGGAGTTTGAGAAGGGGGCAGATCCATTTTGAAACGGCAACCTTCAGAAATATTAAAAATAACATGAGCATATTATATGCCTATACACATTAAATGATGCTAACAAATCAACATAATGAAAACGTGTCCAATAGACCACATACTGAATACATCAAGTTTGTACAGAGGTCTGTATGGGCCACAGACAGCAGCTTTATATGTGCACATGATGTCGTACATGTAACTCATTTACATTTAACTGACACTTTTACAACGGGGATTTGAAACCACAAGCTACTGGTTGTCACTGCAATCTGTTGAGCTACAGGTGAGCTGTTGATACAATATTAAATCATACATTTTATTTTTCAATAAATTCATGCAATATATGGGATGGATGCAAAAAAATATATATATATGATCGGTACTGCAATGCAAATTTCAATGCCCCATATTGGTGCCAGTCAAATGCCTGAGCTGTCAATTGAATTATATGACCTCTGGTGCTCAGGCAACAGAAGCATCACTGCGCCTCACATGCCGTTGGTAGTTGACATTATAGTTGCTCTGATGTCAGCAGATGCCCACTGTTACCTAGTAGCTACTTTTAAGGTGTGTGAAGCGAAACGGTCCAACACGTGCCTGTATTTCACTCGAAAGGATTCTGACACCTGGACGTTAAGTAAAAAAATGTAAATGATTCCACTTCAGGAACCATACAATGCCTCTGCAAAGTTTGAAGAAGATACATAAAAAATTAGAGTTATCATCTTAATAAAAACAAGTATCAGAACTGCTCTTTTTTGCTATGATGATGCAATGTGGCTTAAATTTTGGGGTGATCTGCCTCAAAATTTAATCAGTTTTAGCTCATCACCCATTCAAGCCTGTGAATCTGTCAAACAGTTTTTGAGTAATTGGCTCACATACCGAAGTGTCTGTGGATGCGGGCAGGTGCTAAAACCATATGTCAGGGCTCCTAGATCTGGCCCTCGATTCCAAATGCAGACCTTGTTTTCAGTTCTCCCAGGTAGTTAGTTTAATAATGACTGATTCAGCGGCTTCACACCTGGCTCACAGGTAAAGGAAGGCTGGAAATCAGCAGCGCTCGGACCTTGAGAACGTGATTTGAACAGGCCTGCCTTATGAACAGGCCTGCCTTATGAACAGGCCTGCCTTATGAACAGGCCTGCCTTATGAACAGGCCTGCCTTATGAACAGGCCTGCCTTATGAACAGGACTGCCTTATGAACAGGACTGCCTTAAGTATTTCCCAAAGGCCAGAATACAATTAATGCCCCTAATTAGAAGCTGGGAATCTTCTCTGTTGTTAAGAAGCTAATTTAATCAGAGGCATAACTTTGTGTGGAAATGCAGAATTACCGCAAAGCTTCAATTAAAATATCTAAAAATAACGAGAGTGAGATAGATTTCGACGCATGGCTTTCATGTGGTTATGGTCTGTCCTCAGCCAGGCTACTTCACTATAGCTATTCTCCCTGCAATAAACAAAGCACTCCAATTACGGCATGGCAACCCAGGTGTCTAACAGGATAATTGCGGAACTAACTAAGTTAGCAAATTGCATCACTTATATGCTAATCAAATAGCAATCTACTCTAGGTCTCTGACAGGACCCCACAACATTTAAGCAGAAATTAAAAATATTACTTTGAACTGAGGTGAACATCACTCATGTTCTGCACACACACACACACACACACACACGTACACGCACGCACATACGCGCACACACACGCGCGCGCACACACACGCGCGCGCACACACACACACACACACACACACACACACACACACACACAAAGAGCACCTGGCCTCCTGTCAGGACAGGCTCCACCTGGTGTGGATGTATTCTGGGGCAGATTTCAGGAAATGTTCACACCACAGGGTTTTATAAACCCAGGGCCTCAGACTAACCTTTTCTGCTAGTAGCACTGGTACTCCTCACTGACTATTTTAGGAACACTGGCACAAAATTTAGCCGCACCACTTAAATTTACATTCAGTGCAACACATTCTGATTTTTCCCATCCTTTACTGTATTACTGATAAATACTTTGGTGATAAACATACAGTTTACATACAATATTTTATTTTAAAAGAAAAACTCACAAGTAGTGCTTTAAGAGAAAAAAATCGCTAAGCTAAATGGTGCTTTTTTAAACATAAACACCAAAGTTTGTTTCATTGTCACCAAAGGGCCAAGCGAGATTAAGACCACTTATTGACCAATAACAGATCAGAATCGCCCCCAACCTGTGTTGATGATGAAAGCCTCACATTAGCTTTCCTACATGCCGTCCTACTGTCTATCTCACTCACTCACACACCAGTTGGGTACTTTCGGATTTTAACGATTCTAAATCTGATTCAGAATCGACGCATCAAATCCAGTTCTTATCGATTCTTGCTTTTGATTATACATATGACAAAAATTGTCACAATGTTTTAATAACACTGCATGTTTAACTTCAGCTTTTACAAATGTTTAATTGAAGCAGTTATGTAGCTTCCATATTTTATTAAAACAAAAACAGGGTATTTAAAGATAAAATGAAGGAGGTTAACAACCACACTCAGAATCTTGGACGTCAGTTTGCAACTGATGTCAGACAGACTTTACATTTCTGTTTAATCTGCCTAAAGTGGATGGCATGCAGGCCCGGTATGCAGGCCCGGTATGCAGGCCCGGTTCTTATCGGTAAATGAGTTTTATCCATAACGCAGCTTAATACCAGGAGGTACACAAAGCAAAATTAATGAAACAATGTTTGAAAAAATATGTGGACTTTCCCTCCACAGCTGCGTGTTTAAAAACATATAACACCCACTTTAAACCATGTTTATTACGCATCTGGCGTACACGTTTGTAGATAAAGACTAGCCTTGGGTTTAGTGGCAGGAAATTTCCAAACTAGTCACTGGTTCTTGGTCTTGACAGAGGAGTATTTTCGAATTAACGAATTAACGGCTTGGGTCATATATAACCAAAATATTTAACAGTAGTGGAAATTACACTGAGGTGTAAGGTATTTCATCTGTACTTTAAAATGCAACGCTATTCCGGTATTTTGAAATGCCCCATGATACAGTTTCGACAAACGGAATTACCGCGGTATGCCGTGGTGCCATTATACCGCCCAAGCTGTGTTCCTTCGGATCGGTATCGGCACTGATCCAGACCTTTTTGATGGATCAGGTCTTGGCCATATGTGACCGATCCACGTCTGATACTTACTTATTTAGTTTTTGGCAGTTTGTATTAAATCTATTTGGACAATCAATTGCATGACAGCTCTTTCCCATTTTAGATGTTTTTTGCGGCATTCAAGCTGAACACTAACGCTGCCACTCAGTTTTTTTGCTACTCAGTGGGTATGAGTGTGGTGAAGTTAGTTCTAAAATAAACAGCACTGGATACACCTTCATGGACTAGGATTGTGTGTGTAAATTAAGAGCTGCCATAAAAGGGAGAGTGGAATAGAGAGTCCTTTTTCGGCTACATTCGCTCACCTCCGGACCCTGGTCTTGCATGTGGCAGGACTCGCTGTCTCCATCCGAGAGCGAGTCTGACTCTTCGCTGGAGTTGGTGCCATATGACTGCTCGCACTTGATCTTGGGTCGCGCCCTGCCGAGGATGGTGTCCCCAGCCTGCACACCCTGGTCCTGCTGGTCGGCAGAGAGGCAGCGCGCGGCATTGGGGCAGGGCGATGAGGAGAGCTCGAACTGTGGCAGGCTGCAGGGGGAGCCCCCACTGCCATCCTCGGCGTAGGAGTAGGAGGAGCATGAGCTGGAGGTCCGGGTCCTGGTTTCTGAGGGAGGTGAGCGGGGGCACACTTTGATCGGTACAGGACAGCTGGTGTTGGGCCGTGACCGGAAATGCGGTGTGGGCTCCACCACACCACCGCTGCTGGGCGGGTACGCTTGGGAGGTGGTGAGAGACAGGGCCGTGCCCACCCACAGGCTCTTTGAGGCCTGCTCTGCAAGCTCCTTCTCTACAGAGTTGCCCCTGGGGTAGGAGTGCACCGGGGGGCCAAGTTGCTCACATGAAGAGAAAATGACACTCCTGCGGTCGGGCTCCGTCTCCGGCCTGCACACCCCATCACAGGACGCCGCCTTCCATGGCAGACCCCTGGGGAAGCCATCGAGCTCCTTGGGGGATGTCACCAGATCGCCTGTCTCAGTGTCGAAAGGCCCGTAGTCCTTCCGGCGGTCGCCCTGAGCAGCCCCCTTGTCCTGGGGGCCGGTCAACTGTGCGGCGAACAGCTGGCCCACCGTTCCGGCGGGTTTGTGGAGGGAGGCTCGCTGGCAGGGGGGCGAAGGCGCACTGAGCTCCTCGTCATCCATCTCCATGCCGGCCACGCCATCTGGCTCGTCTCCCGACAGGCACAGCGAGACAGCCTCGTCCTCGGTGCGCGGCTCCTCCTTGATGTGCACCACTTCTGACCTGGCCTGGCCGAGAAAGCCACTGCTGCCTCCGCCGCTCTCCACGAACGTGCCGGGAAACCCTGAGGTACTGCTGTGTGAGGGGTTGCTGTTATTGTGCTTGTTGTAGCCCTGGTACTTCCTGTACTTGGGGCAGCGGGGCATGTCCGAGGCACAGTCCTCGGGGACCCCCACCGCGAGCCTCTCGTCGTGGTTGCCCATGGCGCTATGAGGCGAGGTGGAGGCGGGTGCTTCTGGTTGCATGGCCTCATCGTCCGAGTGGTCACCCCCCTCCCGGGCCGGGGGCAGCGGCGCCACCCTGTGGCAGAGCAAAAGGCCGTCCTCCTCGCTACGCAATTGTGCCTCCAGGAAGCGGAAGCAGGAGTCTTCCAGGTTGTGCATGCGCAGGAACTCAGCGCACCGGATGACCTCCTGGATGTTCTCTCGGCTGAGCAGCAGCTTGGCCGTATAGGCGAACTGCAGCAGCGGGCCGAAGCCTCGGGCTGTGACCTGTGGAGGGTGACACAGAGAAATGGTTAGATTGCTGGCGGCGTGGATAGAGCTTCACTACTGAAGTATGGTGAGGTAACCCCTGCGTCCCCAACACAAACTCACTGCATCTTTTATTGGTCCAGAAAGTAACATGGTTCTACAGTGGGATTGCCAAGCCCAGCAACAGAATGCTCCCTGCGAGGTGCCCCAAAATTCTGGCCCCCATGATCTGAAAGAGGGGGATCCGACAGGTATTCCTGATTTCAATCTGAGGAAACATGGGTATGCTTAAATTTGCAAGGGGGTTTGGGTAGGGGGGGGGGGTTCCCAACTATAAAATTTGTAAGAAATATTTATGAAAATAGGAGAAAAATTGCAAAATGCAATTTAAAGAATTATTTTTTAGGGAGGCTGAAGTCCCCTTAAAGAAGGTTAACTCAAAAGCGGTCACTGTTTGGGGGGCAATGCCCCCGGAATGCCCCAGGATGCTCGGCTGGCCACCAAATCCTCTCCCCCCCCCATTGGCAAAAACTGGCAAAAATACTGAACAAAGGGTGGGGTGACACAGCAAGGCTCAAGGTGCCATGGCTGACGCTAATCATGGCACCCAACAGAGTGGCCTGATACCCTGGTGCCTCCCCGACCTGAGGGCAGTGCTATTAACACGCCGGCCGAGAGCCCCACCGTGATCAGCGGCGCGTCACATGCCCGACCTCCCCGACCTGAGGGCAGTGCTATTAACACGCCGGGCTGAGAGCACCACCATGGCCTTTGCACGTCACATGCCCGACCTCCCCGACCTGAGGGCAGTGCTATTAACACGCCGGCCGAGAGCCCCACCGTGATCAGCGGCGCGTCACATGCCCGGCCTCCCCGACCTGAGGGCAGTGCTATTAACACGCCGGGCTGAGAGCACCACCATGGCCTTTGCCACATCACCTGCCTGGGCTTTAAGGAACCTGAGGTTGGCGCTATTAACGCACTGGGAGAAAGCACCACTGTGGCCCGTGCCTGGTCAAATGCCCAGCCACCTAGACCTGAGGTAGGCACCATTAACGTGCTGGTAGAGAGTACCACTACACCACTGATCTCTGGGAGGGTCCGCACTCTACTGCCCCGCACTCTGCTGCCCCAGGCAGACAGGCCCATGTCAGGCCCCAGGAACCAGGCAGAAAAAATATAGAATCTGCTCTGTAGATTTTTCCAAAGGAAAAACATAGCAGGCTTGTGTGTTTACACCAGAAATGCAGACCTAATCTGAAACTTTACTAAAAAAAAAAAAAAATTCAAATATCCTTAGTGATTACAGCTGGTGGAATTAATAATTACAATTAAAATGGCCAGCACATTTCTTGAACTGCTAAAGACTGTGCTTCTGTCAACTGGGGATATTCAAAACAAAGGAGTGTATTTTAAGCAGACACAGCGAGTCCTCCGGCAAAGCGGGCTTAATGAGGTTACGTTCTCTGGACGGCCTTGTGAATGGCGATCTAACAGGTCCTCAGGTGCCACAGAGCCGCACACATAAAAGCAGGTCACTTTCCTTTGTGTATCAGGGCATACACACAGTTTAAGCAGCCTGAGGTTCCTCCCACGACGACGGCGAGCTGCTGCCAGATTCTGCCCCTCCTCACCTCCCCATCCACCCCGATGCCTGTACAGCTCGGCCGAGTCCGGTTCCCCAGGACACCAGTGCCAGTGCACCATCACTGCGGAGAGCCTCCTAGCTGCCTGTCAGGAGATGGGTGTGTGCTGACACCTGCCTACCTGCCCACCCCTACAGTCACATGCATGTGTGCTTCGTGTGGTGCTGGGTCAAACCCGGGTCACAAACGGGCCACCCCGCCCGGCTCCCAGTCAGAACTCGACCTGGAGAGCTGTCTGTGGGGCTGAGAGGCGCTTGAAAGCCACTCCAAGCAGGGCACAGGGAGGTGGTGGGGGAGGGAAGG